ATCCATACCCAGAATACAATCAAAATGATCAATGCTCAGGGGCAGCAAATCAACATACAATGTCATCTCACCAATCACAATATCACATGCTGGATAAACATAAGCACATATTATAGAACCCCCAGTTGGTGTAGACACAGATAGTAAATAGTTCATAGGTTCTAACAGTTTATTTAATTTTTGAGAAATAACATGCTATACAAATGAATACGTGGAGCCAGAATCAATCAGCACATAAGCATTCTGAGCACAGATAGAAATTATACTTGACACCACAGATTTGGTGTTCTGTACATCACCAGGCACAAGAGCAAATACTCGACCTTTCTTTAAGGTTTTCTTCCCGGTGTTAGCTTTTGTGTTCATTCTTGATGCCGAGGCGAATCCGACGGGGTGATTGGTATTTTCGAACCTGATAGGACGATCTCTCATCACATGGCCGGTTTTACCATACCTGAAACAGGCATTTGATGCTCGATAACAAACCCCCTTGTGTTTCCTACTATAGTCTGAGCAAGTGGGTACAGATCCACTACTTTGGCTTGAGCTACTGTAAGATCTCGTATTTTGCTTCTTTGAGAATGATCGACCTCTTTTGAAGTTAGACCCCAATCTCTTACCCCTCTATTAACTTGTTGGGACAAGAGTTTGTTCTTTGCTGCCAAAATGGCTTCCGCCATCAATGCCCTATCCATCACATTTAGATACGTAGGTAGGTTAAGGACTCTTACCTGATCCAGTATATCTAAATCCAATCCACCCTTAAATTTGTGGGCTTTCTTATAGTTCGTGTCCACCATGTGAGGAGCAAATTTGGCTAACTCAGTAAACTTAGCCTCGTACTCAGCTACGGATATTCTGTCTTGCTTGAGTTCTTGAAATTCTGAAATCTTTCGGTCCCGAAAGCACTGTGGAAAGTACTTGTCATAAAAAATTGTATTAAATTGAGCCCATGTCATGTTCTCATTACCACTCCAGTCTAGCAACCACTATCTACAGGCTTCATCCTTTAAGGTATAGGTGGCCAAAAAAACCATTTGAGTCTCAAAGCAGGGAAAGACCTCAAATAATTTTTCCATCTCAAGTAGCCATGTTTCTGCCTTCAATGGCTCAATGCCACCTAGAAAAGTTGGTAGTTTTATTTTCATGAACTTCTGAGTCAAATTGATAATGTCATTGTTGTCCGGTTCAACTTGTACCGACGAAGGCGGAGGAGGCAAAGGTTGTTGCTTCTGTTGTTGCATTATTGCCTCGGTCAGAGCTGCAAGCAGCTGTTCCATTCTGTTCATTCGGGCTTCGGATGATTCAGATGTTCAATCACTTCTTATATTTTCCATTTGCTATAGGTAAAGAAAACATTATAAACATAGGCAAATAGTCCTTTTACAACATTCAAATCGTTTATTTTCATGTCTTGTAGTTATAATCAGATTTAGTATTCACTTTTAATGAACACATACTTACACATACAGATGGAATGCTCCTACTTCTTACTATGACATGCTAAGCTCATATGGACTCGTGTGTGCGGTAGAGCACATACTCTAATACCACTTTGTCACGACCTAAACCTGCTCTTATAGGTTTAGCGTCATAACCGGCCAGTAACCCTTGGATTACCGAAGGCCTCTTAACAAAATAACATAAAATTAGGGACTGTGGAAGCAATAAACAGAAGTATACATAGTCCATTGAGCTGTGAAGACATATATGAGACGAATATTCTTAAACTGTAGTAAAGATACGTATGACGTCAAAAGGTACAGTTGATACACGTCACTCCATGTACTTTACATATTAACAGAAATTTGTCTATAGTCAAAACAAAAGAACCAAAGTCTTAAATATTCACAAAACATGCCCACGGGACTTGACATGATCCGGAACCTCCTCGGGAGGCACAAAGGGTGGTTGACAAACATAAAAGCCATAAGGTATCATCTTAAGCCTGGTCGCACGCCTGGTCACCTACATATAAAATATAAATAGTGAGCGGAAGCCCAATGAATAATAACAAAGTAAAAGGGTTTTAATGAATGATGTCCATCATAGACTTAGAAATCAAAGTCTTATGTATATTCAGATTTCAAATCAGAAACAGATTCATATACATGTTCGAATTCATTTTCAAAGTTCATACATTTCACATCATAGTACTTGGCACATCCATTAGTGTTAACAAATCCGATGACCCATAAAAGGGACAGCCGTGAAGGCATTCTGATAACCCATAAAGGGACAACCATAAGGCATTCCGATGACTCGTGTGCACAGAGACGTTTCCGATGACCCACAAAGAGACGGCCTTAAAGGCATTCTGATGACCCATAAAGAGACGCAAATTATCACATGATGCTATAGATGCCACGAGTGCATTTCAGAAACTTGGGCGATCATTCATTCACACAAAACATTGCATTTCTCGTTGGTAAAATATTTGGTAGAATATTTGGGATATATAGTATTTCTCGTTGATGATAGGTAGCATTCATGAATTTCTCCTTTTCCCATGGCTATTTACCATCCACTCACACTACAAGAAATTGTACGTTTGGCGACTAAATTCATAGTAGTCAAAAATTATATTTTAGTCGCCAAAAAGTTTTCCCGACTAAATAGTTTGGTCATCGGCTTGGTTGCGAGAAGCTTGTCGCGGAAGGTGTTGGCGAATAAAAATATTTAGTCGCCGAAAGTCCTAAATTGGCGACTAAACAATTAATCACCAAAAGGAAAGGAATTAGCGACTAATTTTTTTTAGTCGCCGAAAGTGTGCTTGTTTGTTTTAGCGACAAAAATATTTAGTCGCTAAAAACGTGACACTCTTTTTTGGCTACAATTTTTTAGTCGCTAAAATCATGATGCTCCTTTTCAGCTACTAATTTTTGTCACCAAAAACTTTCATTTCTTTTTTTTGGCTACTAACTATTTAGTTGCCAACAAACTCCCTTTTTATTTTTGGCTACTAAATGTTTAGTTGCCAAAAGCTCTATTTATTAATTTTTTTAAAATGCATAAATTGAATATTTTTCATTAATTTCTGAATTATATGCATTCCATTATCAATGCAACCTGTAACCTGTGCATATACAAAATAATACATCTATCAATTATCATCTAAATCCATTATCAGTAATACCCATTTCATTATCAACTATCTAAAAACTTTAACTTGTAACATCATATTCCAAATATCATATAAATCCACACCAAGTATAATCCATCTAAATTAAATATTACATACAAAAACACTGAAATTCCAAAACAGAGGATTGAAAAATAAATATCTTCCATATACAGAACAAATGATCTTCGTACACAAAAATAAATATCCACAATAGCTCATGCAAAAACAATATGTAAAAAAAATAACTATTAACATTTATTCAATAAAATTGACATTTCAAATTATAACAATTATAAAAAGAAAACTAAATTAGGATGCCGACCAATGGGTTAACATGGTGCACTGAAATGCTACGACCAGCAGTTGCAAAAAAAAAAAAATGAAATATCAAATAGCACCAACTATTCAAATTCTCTCATAAGCAAAATATCAAATAGGTTTCTCATTAAGTTGAAATGCCTTTGCTTCTCTTCAGCAAATTGTGCTTCATAACCATTCAAACAGTTGACCAAAATCTAACATTGATATACATCAATAAAAAGCACCAGATGGCATTTAAAAAGTGTGTGCATTTTTGTAACCTTACCTTCTCCATGTTTGGAACAAGTTCTTATAGTTTGCTCATTCTTTCATTGATCTGATATCTCTTCACCTGTGAATCGCTTGAATAAAGGAAGAAAACAAGTCACCAATAGAAGATTTGAGGAGATATGATTTAAAAATTGACATCCCTTATACCAACTTATTTAACGATCTTCTAACCTCAAGGAAAGTACTCCACTCACAATTGGAATTTATGGCCACTAGTAAGTTCAATGTCCTAATCTCTATTCTAGGGAAGTTATGGCTACTGGGAGTAGGTTGTTTGGTTGTGTAGAATTAAAATTTGGTTGGAAAGAAATACAAGAATTTTTTAGAGCAAGATTGAAGAGAGTGGAGGGTTGTGGGACAATATTTGTTATTTGTCTTTCTTTTGGGCTTCAATGTCTTCTCCTATCAAGGGGATACCTATATTTATAAAAATAAATAAAAAATCAAAGGGATGCCTTTATTTTTTATTTATAGAAATTGGAGGGCAATATGTGACTCGTAATTTTGTTTTTACATTTCATCCACATCCCAAGGGAGCATCCACTTTACAAAGAACAAAAGAAACAGACCCTCGATGATGTGCTAGAACCTTATAAAAAGAATATACCTTGCTTTTAAATCAATATTCAATTTTCTATTGGATTTTAACTTCTTTAACAGTAGAAAACCAAATCCTACTACATCTAGTCAGCCAATTTGACAAGGAAAGAAACAAATTGCATACTGTCAATGCTAGAAGCAAAAACTTGAATAATTACAAGTAAACAATGCTAGAAATATATACAAGAGTTGCATACTAGTTAAAACAATAGGATAACTCCGTGGAAAGGTTGAGACATCATTAGAATTGAAGCCTGATGTGTAGAACTCCACACCAGCTGGTAGAACACTGCAATTCAACAACCCCACTATGTTGGATGAGGATGGTTGAAAGAGAGAACATATAAAATAGCCATAGTGAAGCAGAATAATAAAGTAATGGCTTTGCCGACAAAAAGTAGCCAAACTCAGAGAATTATCATTGAATTTGAAAATATTCAAAGCAGAAAGGAATAAATCACAATGTAATTACATGATAAAAATGCTAAATCGCCTTGCATTGTGATTTGATGCAAAAGTGATGCCCACATTAATATGGTTTTACACTTGCACATCTTAATAGAATATCAAATCTCTGCATGAAGTAAAACTACCTCATTTAAGAGAATCGGAAGAAGGCAGATGCGAGAGAGAGAGAGAGAGAGAGAGAGAGAGAGAGAGAGAGATAGAAATTTTTAAGCCTCACTCAATTCCTCACCCAAAAACTGAATTGCCGAAGATTGAAAACCAGATCATTAACAAAGAAAGGCACACCTGGAGATGAAGCTCTAACCCACATAGCCACTTTAGTTTTAATGTAGTTGCATAGTGCCAGTGAATCTGGTTGTTTACCCAGGATAAAAACATTCCTCAACTTCCAGATGGACCATAATATTACCAGAGGTAAAGCTTTCCAAATTTTCTGTTCAAATTTGTTGAATGTGAACCCAGACCACCAAAGCAACACTCCTTCCATAGATTCTGGCATCACCCAATGGATCCCCCACCATAGTAGCACATCAGACCAAATTCTCCAGATATGTGGGCACCATAGTAGCACATGGTTCACAGTCTCTGGTTCAGCATTACAGAACACACAATCCATATTGGCATTGCCATTGATAACACAAGCTCTTTGCAAGTATGTAGCAGTCTTCAATCTCTGTCTCCAAGCTAACCAAGCAAAGCATATGACTTTGGGTGGGGTTACATTCTCCCAAATCATCTTATCAACTCCTCTTATATCATTGGAATTTGGACTGAAGTATAAACTGACCAGAGCTCTCCGCTTTCCATAACAAACTGCCATCTTCATCTGCCCTCAAAGCATTCGCTGAAGCTAACATGTTGACTCTAGCCACATCCTCTCTTTCCCAATCCCTCAATAGTCTTATAAACCCTAGCTGCCAATCAGAAAAACCTCTTATAAACACTATTCCATGGACCACAACACTAGCCAATTCTATAGAACTTTTATTTATAATCATTATGCAGTTTTTGATACCATATCACATTATCTTTTTCTTAGATTGGTTCATGTTTCAATTTCCAGAGTGAACTATGGTCTGATTGGTCTTAGAAATATTTAAATAAAAAGACAAATAACAAAAAAAAAAAAACCAAAACAGTACAAGCACAGAAGAGAATTAGAATGCATCATTTTTTCAATTTGAACTGCTTTCCTCAAAAACTTTACTAAGAGATCAAGTAGAATCTTACACATTTGACCACGATAATGGCACATTTTAAAATCAAATACGTCTACTTGATTTTTGTGTTGCCTTATTTCTCTCTGATTATCAATTTTTTTAATTTTTTTATTTATTGTTAGCCTCAAACATAGTTTGTGGTTCTTGGATTACCAAAACATGTTAATTTTCTGTTGAGGAGATTCATTTTATTCCAAGAGAACTACAATCAACAACACACAATCTATTGTTTTTGATTTATTAGCATTTCCAATTACAAAAGAAGAAAGCGGTATCGATGAACTATATATGTACATCAATTGAATGTCTGCTTGAAAATGGAATCAATTATAACAAGGAGATAAAAGCTTGAAGCGAACAAGTACCTACCTGGGAGATCACATCAAACCATAGAATTAATGTATTACAATGGTCAAAAATCTAACTAATAAGAATTTGATTAAAATAATGAATAATAGCAGAGGTCAACTGTTTATTCAATCCAAACATCCCCCCCCCCAAAAAAAAAATCAAAAAATAAAAAAAGTTTTGATGTATACAACCTTAACTTTTATTTTCGTGGTATAGTGAGAATGGTGAAATAGGAGAGAAATTTTAGCAAATATTTGGGTCAAAATTCACCTTTCGAATAAGTCAATTATAATATCAAATATAATATTGAATAAAAACAACAAATAATTAAATTTAATTGAATGATAACATTGAAACTTGCAACTTTCACTGAAGTCTCAATCCGGATGACTTTATTGGTAGACCCACCAACATTTATGCTGTGTTTGGTTGAGAGATTTGGAAAGGGAAAGGGAAAAGGTGTATGAAACTAAGTGAAATATAGGTATATTTTATTTACATTTCACCTAATTTTTCCCTTTTCCTTTCCAAATCCCTCCTCAAATCCCCAACCAAACACAACATTAGAAAGTGTGATAAAGTTTCCAAATGAAAAAGAAAGTAAAACTAGTGGCAACTCGACTTAAGTGAAGATCTTATGCTTAATGGAAGCAATTACAAGTAGAACACGCTTGACAACTATAAGATCCTCACCCAAAAACTATTCTTTGAAACATTGTTATGACAAGAATTGTCTGCAATGGGATGCCCAATGAAGCCATGTTTTCCAATTTCCGAATAAAAGAAAACCAGAAATACCAAATGTGATTTCTGTACTTACTTCTTTCCCAAAACTATATTTCAATCCAAATGGTGGAAAAGAGAGACAGATATTGGGGAAGAGAGAGAGAGAGAGAGAGAGAGAGACAGAGAGAGAGAGAGACAGAGAGAAGGCAATATAGAGAGGATATGCCTGGGGTAATGCTCCAATAGTGGATCGACGATTGTGCTCGATGGCGGTGATGCTCCTTACCCGATAGCAATGGAAACAAAGCGACAGAGATTCAATATCAGGAGGAGGGCAACCAGCGTGAGAGAGAGAGAGAGAATCAGAAGAGAGCAGATGCGAGAGAGAGAGAGAGAGAGAGATACAGACTTTTTTAAGCCCTAACTCATTTTAAGTGTGTTTGAAATCCCTTCAAAATCCCTCTAAAGTTCCACACCAAAATAATTTAAAAATCCCTCCAAAATTTGGAGTCCTACCTCCAAAACTTTTAATTACAATTGCCTAACTAAAAACTTTAGTCGGTAAAAGTTAGCTAAAGGCGACTAAATTTTTTTTAGTAAATAAATATTGCCGACTAAATAATTGTAGTCACCCAAAACAAATATTTACCAACCAAATATTTGGTCGCCAAAGAGAGAAGTAAAATTATGGTATTTGGTTGGCGACTAAATTATTTAGTTTGCAAAAATTCTTATAACATGACTAAAAGTTGTTTGGTCACTAAAAATAAATTTTTACCGACCAATTGTTTGGTCGCCAAAGAAAAAAAGTAAAAATTATGCTATTTTGTGCTTGGTGTATGGCTTATGTATCTCAGCTGAGATACAGAGAAATAATAATAATAATAATAATAATAATAATAATAATAATAATAATAATAATAATAATAATAAAGCATAAACTCAAATTGGGTGGTAAGTGTTCCCACCAAAAAAATTGAGTATTATTGCTGACTAAACGTGTTTTGGTCATCAGAAATGTATATTTGCCGACCAAATGAAGTAGTCACCAAAGATTAAAATTAAGATTATACTAGATATTTGGCGACTAAATTTCTTTCAGTCAGCAAAAGTTAGTATATGACGACTAAAATTTATTTAATCACTGAAAATAAATTTTTGTTTTCCATTCGACAACCAAATAAATTTAGTAGCGAAAAGTAACTATACAACGACTAAAATATTTATTTAGTCGCTGAAATTGAATTTTTGCCGACCAAACTTTTGGTTGCCAAAGATAAAAAGTAAATTTATGTTTTTCATTCGGCAACTAAATAATTTTAGTAGCCAAAACTAACTATACAGCGACTAACATATTTTTTAGTAGCCAATTGTGGCATTTTTAGTAACTAAAAATTATTTTAGTCGCCAATTGTGATATTTTTAGCAACTAAATTTTTTTTTAGGAGCCAATAATCAATATGCCACGACCAAAAAAATTAGTAGCTAAATCCTATACTTTTTTGCTGACTAATACAATTTTTGGTCACCAATTCCACAACTTTTGGCCACTAAATTTTTTTTAGTCGCCAAATTTAGTCGCCAAAAGTGTAATTTCCTGTAGTGTCATCTTCCAACTCTTGCTTTTCCGAGCTTGCAATGTCAAATATTTGAATCCTCGACTCTAATTCAGAATTTCAGTTTAGGCTGCAAGCAAGCATTGCACTGAGAAAACAATGGAAGAAGATTGTCTAGATGCAGTCCTACGAGACTATGACCGTTGCATACAGAAATCTTTAATTGTAGACGGGTTGGTGGAAGGCAAAGCATTCATGAATGTATGGTCCAGGAAAATCTGTCAAAGTTAAGCACCTGCAAAGAGAAAAATAAAAATAAAAATAAAACAAAATCAAGCGTCTAAAACATTATGCATATGGATACACAAGTAGAATTGATCATATGAATGTTAGTGACGAAGTTTCGTTATCCTTAAATAATGATTTCCCACTTAGTATTTCCTAGAATGCAAATTCAAGGTGAAGAAACTTAATTAAATGACTAACACCCCACATAAAATATGCCACATAAAGTTGCTACATACAAATTCAGGGAAAATAGAAGTTGCTACTTACGGATAAAAAACCATTACCTATTAATTTTAAAAGGCAATACACAATTACAGCAAACTCAGCACAGAAAATCAAGAATGTTTTAGTGTAGGCTTACCCCAGCAATTTCCATACTCAAATGCAACCAATGGGCCAGCTACATTAATTTTGGCATTGTATCTCCAAAGTAATGTTTGTCATTAAGTCACTGAATGTTAATAGTTGTCCACAATGTTTAGATCAACAAAATAAAATAGAACATCAAGACATGGTTTTCTTAATTTTTGGGCCATTCTAAAAAATTAGCTACAGCATAAATTTGACTTCAAGTTTAAAAAGCCTCAAGAGACTTCATACAGGAAAGGTTTGCAACACTTTTAACATTATGCAACAACTGCATTATATATGTCTTTATGAGATCATACATTGATATGAAAATTAAAATCAACAATATGAATCGCCCCAAATATCAGACTACGCTGTCAAAATCCAATCACTTAAAGCAAACAAGCCTCACATGCACCTTTGATGCGTTATTAACAACAAAATAAGTATAATAGTTTTGATTCAAGAAATGAAAAATCTATTTTGTTGTCTGAAACAATCTAAATGAAACAACACCAACTCTTCTAAGAGTGACTCTAAGCCATACTCTTCATACTCCTCCTCTTCAAGCTGAATGTATTCCTCTTCAAGCTCTAGCAACTCTAAGCCATACTCTTCATGTTCCTCCTCTTCAAGCTGAAACTATTCCTTTTCAAGCTCTAGCTCTTCTAATTCTGACGCCAACTCTTTTGAGACCGACTCCAAACCCAGGCCAAACATTTCATATTCTTCCTCTTTAAGCTTTGAGAATTTCCAAAAACCATTCATCATCCTTTTCCGTTTTCCAACTGAGCTTGAAAGTTATCTTTCAAAATATGTTGCTTCCCCTCTCAGCTCTTCCTTTTCCCAATTGTAATCAGGTGGTGTCACCAAACTTTCCTCATACATAATTGCATTGAAATCGTAATTATCAGTAGCCATTAGAATATCCCTATTTGAATTGTCAGTGGGATTGTAAGCCGTTACATATCTTTCATCCACCCCTATGCAGAGGTTCATTATAACTTCATTATTCTTTGTAGAACACAACGGCACAAACCAATGATAGGAACAAAATACTCTGGCCAAATTCGATATCGCGAACATAACAGTCCAAGAGCTTTTCATACCATATTCCTTCATTGCCAATACCTCAACATTGCCTTCAAAGTTTCTAGGATTGTCGAAGCGAGTCATACAAAGACATCCATCTAGAGCTCCCAAACCAAGTATAATATCTCCATCTCCATCCTCATCCTTAGACTGTGGCATTGGTACCTTCTTGAATTTATCGCTCTGTGGATCAAAGGAAATGATTTGATGGGTTGAGAGGAAGTGACCCCAACTTTTCTTAGAGGCCAACCAGTGTAGATGTTCATTCAATACAGGCCCTGGTTTCATAGTACGAACGCTGTAAGGGAATTGGACATATGTCCAAAGTTTGCTCTGAAAACTACCAATTACCATGAATTCACTGCCATAATCTGGACTCTCATGAGGAAACGCCATTACAGCCTTGTACTCATTCCTCGAGGAATCAAAACAAAGCCCAGAAACAACATCATAGTCGCCCACATGGTGATAAGCCAGGACTTTCTTTGAACACCTGGTGAGCGGGTTCCAAACCAAACCAAACCAAGCCAAGCCTTAAGCCCGATCAAATGGGGTCGGCTACATGAATCCTTCTTCTCCACGCGGCCCTATCAAAGGCCATTTCATTAGTCAAATTAAGTAGATTTATATCTCTATTTATAACGCTACTCAACGTTAATCTAGGCCTACCCCGTCCCCTAACATTTCCATGATTGCAATGTCAGCAAGCAAAGGTAAAAATTTCTTCCATGGTCGACGAACGCTTTCAACACGGCATTGTTGATCAATGGATTGAAAAGAAAATTTCAAGTGAGCTTTATAGACAAGAATTTTGGGTCGTCGAGTAGTTTTCGCATGATCTTGGATCAAAGAACGCCATTGCTTGGAAACGCAGATTGATCGGACGAGAGATTTGCTGGGTAATCTTAAGAGTACGTCTCTAAGGATTTCTTGTGGTAAATTGTTCAGTTCTATTTTTGCTCTGTTCTCTTTCTTCATCCATATTCTCTTTGTTGTTGTTGTTGTTGTTGTTGTTTTTGTTCTTCGTTCCTTTTTGTTTCTTGAATCTCTTTGGAAATCTAGGGTTTGCATTTTTTCTAGGGTTTTTTTTCTCCTTCTTCTATGAGACTATCACTTTTTCGGCTGTATTTGTATATTGCAAAGATTGAGTGGACACCACGTTTTGAATTGTATGGTTTGAGATTTGGGATTTGTTGGAGATTAGCATATCACCTATGCATATAGGATAAAACAATGAATAATGGTATATATATATATATATATCAATTGGTGTATTAATTAGTGTATTAATTGATGATGTGGTATAATTTAAGAAGTTTTTAGTATTTGTAATGTGATTAATGAGTGGGATCAATATATTAATAAGGGTAAACTACCAATAGGTCCCAATAGTTGGACTTAATTCCCATCAAGTTCTATTGAAAATAAGTCTTGGTAAAATTGTCGCTAAAAATATTTTTTTTGTGACATTTTTGTATATGTCGGTAAAAATTGACAATTTGTGACTTTTTTTTGTCATGATTTTTATAAATTGTCGCTAAAACTTATAATTAGTGACTTTTTTTATGACAAAATTTTCTCATAGGACCTATTAAATAATACAGCACTGGTTGGTGGCCCGAAAATACATGGCTCGAATGGCTCGAAATACCCAAAACGACGTCGTTTTGGGTGTAAAACGACTTCATTTTACAAAATTCGGACCATTCGAGCCACAGAATTTGGGCCACCAAACATTATTCTAAATAATAACTCAACTTATTAAGACCTACACGTAAGTACCCCAATCATAATATCATAACTAGTGTTGGTACACTAATTAGTACACTAATTGGTACATGTAGCACCACCATAAAATAATATATTATTTATTGAAAATATGATAATTATATTTAATTCTTTCATATTTTGTCTCTTGTAAATAAAATTTTATATATAAGTTTGAGGGTTTTGTTTTAAATATTTTTTTGCTATAATTAGGGATAGCCATTTTAATCCGATCGGCGAGGGTCCGACCATACCCGCTTGAATGGGGCGGATTTTACCTGTCCCAACACTTATGTGGGGCGGGAGTGGATTATCTTTTAATCACCTGCAACGGGATAGGGCGGAGGCAGGTATCGCTTCCCCCTATTCAAACCCAACATGATATAATTTTAATAATATAATATATATATATTAACAGAAAACAATATTAAAAGTTTTATTACTTCGTTTAAAATATAAATAAATAATAATCTTAAAATCTGCACTATTTATTAGGATAGAAAATAAAAAAAAATTATTTATATGTGCTAGAATTTAATGTTTCTTAATTATTTTAACTAATTGAAATGTGATCAGATATCTGCGGGTTATCACGGAGTGGGTGGTATTGTTGAAAATTCCACCCATAACAGGGGTGGGGCAGGGTGGAGTTTTTGTCAGCGGGGGGGGGAAAGGCAAAACCCTTCCTTGAACTTGCCCCGTGGCCATTCCTAAACTTAAAATATGTATAGATAGATTAAAGTTGTTGTACTGACAATTAAACAATTTCAAATTTGCGTTGTTATAAAAAAAAATTGACATAGTTCTAATATTTCACTATTTTAGGAATAAAAATATATGATTTTTAAAATAATTGTCATATTGGATTTTTGAAAGGAAAATAATTTAAAATTTTTTTTTTACAAATCTTAATGTAACAACCCTCATTTCAACTAGTCATACTTGCATTACTAATTATGAATGATCTTGTTTTGGTGTATGTGCATTTGCAGAAATCTTGTCTTGGTTTTGCTCGAATGTTGCTTGCATACTTTGTTTCTGCCTGGTGTGTTTGCCGAGTCATCTCAAGCCTAGACACCTTCGAAAAACCTTTTCCACTTAGAATTGTCGTGGAATTCCTTGTTGACCTCCATTCTCCACCGTGGCATATTGGCTGAGATGTCACCATCTAGGCCGAGCGCGCGCGTCGCCTAGGCCGAGATGTGCTCATCTAGCCGAGATGTTAATATCTAGGCGTTCTAGATCCTTGACCCTTGCACTAGCGATTTTGTTCCTGGAATGGTATGACCTAGACCGAGGTGTGGCACATCTAGGCCAAGGTGTGGCACAGCTTAGTCAAGTGTTGTCCTTCCAAGCCGATGTCCTTGCCTCTTGCTTGACGGGGTCTTGTTGTCGGCCGATGTTGTTACTTGTCGGAGTGCTCTTGCTATTTAGCTTGTTGAATATGCTTTGTCTTGGTCTTGTCTAATCAGTCAGTCACCTTTTTGAGTAGAACCAACCAGCCGGTGCCACGTGTCCTAGCAGAGGGATTAAGCCAGTGACTGTCGGGAGAAACATATCATTTTGTATCAAATCTTGTGTTTTAGAGTGAGAGAAACTCTAGGAAGAAGGAGGAGAAGTTTGAGTAAGAGAGTGAGCTTCCAAGCTTGATCGTTGGAGCTTGAACCATTATATTCGAGTTTTGAGGTCAGAATCCTAGCCTACTCTTGTTGTTCTTATTGATCATCTAGCTGCATTGCACGATCAAACCTGTTCTGCACGTCATACATTGAGTTAAAGTTGGTTTTAGAAAGAGAAAATGATTTTCATGTGTTCTTGAAGGAAAGCCTCGTTTGATCCGAAAGTTTGCATTAAAGCTCATGTTTTTGTGTTTGTTTTGATAAGATCTTTGAGTATGGGTGCCCAGGTCCATGTTTTTGAATTCATAGCATGAAATCTCGGCCTTCGTAATAGCAAGTTTTGATCTTTGCATTCATTTTCCTCATGATCATGTTCTTTATGCTCATGTTCTTCATGTTGTCAAGAGGGAAACCCAGATTTCCCCGACTTCGCTTTTGAATGTGGCTGCCGGGGCCACACCTCGCCAAGGAGGTGTGGGACCACGGCCTAGACCTAGTAGTTGCCCAGCATGTTTTCCAGAAATAAGAAACGGTGTTTTGATTTGATTTGACTTAGTTTTTGAAAAATGCCGAGGTCATTTGCTTGCATGCAAGACTTGTTTTGAGAAGTGCATTCAATAGACCTTGCTATGTATTTGTAGGACTTGGACTTGCCTTGACCCCGACGTTTGACGAACTAGGTGAGTGGTATTTTTTTTATAAAGCTATGTTATACGTTTTGAGAAAGACTTTGCTTTGCTTTGTTCTGAAAGTATTTGTTAAGGATGAATAATCGTCCCCGTTTTGTAAATCAAGCATGATCTTGTTTTGATGACCTTCTTGGAAAGTCCCTTATGCTAGAGGACTCTAAACTTTCGCAGCACATCTTGTCTTGAAATTCCCTTGTGCTGGAGGACACTAAACTTTCGCAGCACCTCTCGTTTTGGAAGTCCCTTGTGCTGGAGGACTCTAAACTTTTGCAGCACACCTTGTTTTGAAAGTCCCTTGTGCTGGGAGGACTCTAAACTTTCGCAGCACACCTTGTTTTGAAAGTCCCTTGTGCTGGAGGACTCTAAAATTTTGTAGCACCCTTGTTTGGGATGCCTCTCTTGCTTTGTCTTGCTTTGCCACTGACGGTTTACCGCGTGGATATGTTTGCCAGAATGTTATCATTTGTAATATGTGATGCTAGTAAGTATCCCTTGAAGCTTTGAAGATTTGTTAGATGGACGAGGTCCATCCCTTGTTATCTAAAGTTTTGACTTGTATTGTTTTAAAGGACTTCAGCTATTATTCATACGAACCCCTTTATTATTTATACCATTCACTGAGTATCCAAGCTCACCCTCCCTATATATATGTAGGTGATGAACAAGAAGGCGGTGACGCCTAGATGTGATTCTGGAGCTTATTTTGGATTTTGATTATGTCGGCTTAACCTGTATTTACGTCGGCAGTCTTGAAAATTATGCTTCTCGATTTGTAATACTTGTATGTTGCATACGTCGGCTTGAGAAGCCTTTTGATCAAGATGTGTGTTTTGTATGATTGTTATGTGGGCAAAGAAGATGTCGGCAACCTGACAGACTGTGTTCCTTGACTTGTAGTTTGTACATTTTGTTTGTGTCGGCTTGTGAAGCCCTTTGTTAATATATAAGATGTAATTTGTACTTTGCTTCGTTTGTAATTAAGTTGTAACCCATATGGAGATGGTTGCTATTTCATTTGACTTATGCACAACTCTTATGGACTAATCTAATTGTATGTATCGCTTCTGTACTTGTGAGCCCCACATATTTATACTCTGTTGTGTGTGAATTTTGAAAGTTGACCTTCGGTAATCTCGGATTACTGGCCATGACGGCACCAAACTACTAGGGGCGGTTTGGGGTCGTGACAGAATGGTATCAGAGCACAAGTTCCTTAGTATACGTTATTCACACACTTTGAGTCCTAAAGAGCATAGGATTTCCCCTTAGAAGGATGTTAGGATTGCATCATATTGCTTGCTATGTGGACAAGGTGTGCATC